AGGGAAGCCAGGTGCTAGGAGCTCAGTTTTCAAGGGCAAAATTAATTTAAGTGGAAAGCTGTAATCTGGCAGCTAGGATGTGGGTTTGTATGTGGAGGAATGATGGAGAACTCTGGGTCAGGGTTTGGAAAACAGGGGAGGAGCACACTGGGAGGGAGGCAGCAGCGTTTACCTGTGCCCAGCACTGCAGGTGGTGGGGAAATGCACTTTGTTGGTGCATTCTCACTTTTTGACTGTAGTTTGGTTTGGCTGCTGATACTGCTGAACTTGGGGGACAGGCTGTGGGGGCTGTGGTGGGTCTGTGGGCTGTGCTGTGGGGCTGGCCTTACCTGGAGCAGGATGGGCAGTCTTGGCTCCACCTGTGAGATGTCCAAGGGGACTCGTGCTTTGGGCCCCCATCCCAGTGGTGTCTGCCCAGCATCAATTGCCAGATTCCTCCTCCTCAGGAACTCCTGCTGCCGGGGGCTCTGCTCCAGCCCCCCTGCTGCCCTCCCCAGGTGCCTGCAGCTGGTCAGGTTCTTCCTGCGCCGCAGGTTCTCCCGCTTCTCGTGCCGCCGCTCACACTTCTCATCGTAGCTCTCGCGCCGGCGCCGCGGCCGTGCCCGCTCGGGTTGGCTGATCATGGCCCCTCTGGGACCACCACGACTGCTCTGGGGTCCTCTGTCCTGATGAAATCAAGGGAAGAGATGCAATTTAAGTGAAATTAATAATTTCTTCGATTAAATGAATGTGAGGTATCGGGCACTGATTCCCTCGTGCAAGGGACGCACGTTGTGTTCCTGCAGAGATGATGTTCATGGGCTCGTCCCTGCTGGCCATGCAGAACACACCTCTGCTGGGTGGTGCTGGCCTAGAGTGCTGGGAACAGGATTTCAAGTGATTAACACAACCTCATGAATTTGGCTTCACCTGCAAGTCATGATGCTCCCATTGCTTCCTCTGGAAGAATTGCTTTCCTGGTAAAATAAAATTCCCCTGTTTTTCAGGCTGTTTCTTCAGTGTGTGCTCTTTGAGCTGTTTAGTCAGCCTCTCAGTTAGGGAGAGAGCTGAGCAGCCACTACCCACAGCTGCTCCTCTTCCTCCATCCCCTTGGGCAAAAGCTGTGTCCTCCTGTCTTCTCCCTCTATCAGCAGGGAAGAGGTTTGTTATCCCTGTGCACATCCCATGAACTGTGCTCAGAGGGTGCCTGCACCCCCTGGGGGGCTCAGCCTGGGAGCTGCTGTGTCTGGTGTGGAACTTTTCTCATGTTTAGTAAATCATGTTAATGTAGGAAGAAGGAAAAAGTTAATTTTAGTCTCTGGAAATTCCGGTTAAATCTTCTTCATGTTGGACAAACCCACCAAAACTTTGTTGGTCTCATTCTGTCTCAAGCAATTAGGAAGTAGTTCAGTCTAATGGAAAAAAACAAATGAACAAGTAGACCCCATTTACACAAAATACTTTTGTGCTTTTTAGTCCGCATTAAGCCCTCTGATCTCTAATTTTAGCTTAAATTTACTGAAGGATCATGACAGTGTTTCACTATTTGGGTGTTTCTCATTGTACCCCGAGACTCCTCCTGCTAAAAGGCTGAGCAGGTTATTCCCATGCAGCTTTCATGTCCATGCTGTAACAATACCACTGTGCTCACCCAGGCCCTTTCCTCTTGGTGCAAACTTGCTGTCCATGACCTGGCAGGCAAGGGGAGGCCTGGCCAAGAGCTTCACATGCAGTTGGACATCTACCAAAGCCCCCCAGGGTGCTCCCTTGAAGCCTGACACTGGGTACAAACCCCACAGCTTGGGACAGGATGTGTATCTACAGCCAAACTGGCTCATACCCCTTCAGGGTGCTTTAAAAGCACTTTTCAACTATTTTTTTTTAAACTGCCCAATTGCATGTTGAACCTGGGCCTCAGGTTTCCCACTCTGTCCCTCCTCATCCGGCTCTTCCCATCAGGAATAGCTCAGCCCCTCTCCCACCTACACTGCCTCTGGGCTGCCCAGCCTGTCACACTGCATCCCAACACAGTTCTTAATGTCCTCAGTTAACTGAAAATGTGCTATAAAGCAAGGTAAAGCTTAAAGAAACACACCACCCATTACTCACCGCACACTGAGCAAGCTGTTGAGGCCTTCTTGACAAGCTAATATTCTATTTCCTCCTCCTGTTACCCCAAATCACCCTCTCCAATTAACAGACATGTCCTTTATCTTTGCTTTCCAAGCTGTTACACTTCTTGCTTCAGGGGAAACATAAAAAAAAAAGTCCTTCTTGCCTGTTCAAGTTACAGCCTCGTGGTGTCAATCGTGTAGGCTGAGGAGAGGCTGAAAAAAGAGGAAAAAAGGTGCCTGGTGCTGCCTTCAGTGCAGCGGCCTCTGCTCCCTCCATCCCTTGCTGGTCCTGGTGCTGTGGGAGCTTACCTGGCTGGAGGGGTCCTGTCCTACCCCTCAACCGTGGTGGAGGAGCAGGGAGAGCAGGGGGTTATCAGGGGTGACCAGGCTCCAGCTGCCACCTTCATGCCAAGCGCCTCATGCTGCTGCTCTCGCTCTGCAACAGGAAGCGCTGCAGCCGAGCCCCGGTTCCTGTCTCTGCTCACAGCCCGGCCGTGGGGGCCCGGCTCACTGCGGGGTTTGGGTTATCTTGGGACCCCAAAGTCTCCAGCTTCTCTCTAAGCAGAGTTGGCAGTTATCTCTTGGGTCATCTCCTTTTATCAGTCTCGGACACGCGGAGGTCGAGCGCAGGTTCACGGAGCTGCTTGTGACCCTCGGTGACTGAGTCTCCCCGAGCTGCTTTGGGGCAGAGAAATCCAGACTTAGGGAAGTACAGTAATGCTATTATTTTAAGGCTTCTTGCAGATTGGAAAGGGGAAAAAAGTGTGTATTGGCAGCTGAGGAGAGGTCACGAATGGCAGAAATTCATTAAGGTCTTTAGAGAAGTGAAAGCTGCATTAATGCAAATCATGCAGGGAGGTGGGTTTAACCAGCTGGGTGCTGATAAGGGCTCTGTGCCTATGCATGTGGAAAAAGAACACGAGTAAAAGCAGAGATCTCTTAAAGTAACATAGGATTTATTTTTACAAAGACTATTTTAGTAGGGATACATGGCAAAAAATGTCCTGGCACAAAGACCCTCTTGTGGCTTTGGGTGGCTTGTGCTGCTTGTCCTAGATCCTTGTTCCTGCTGCCTGTGGTGCTCCCACTGCTGCTGCTGGGGAAAAAGTGTGTGGGTGAGCAGGGAAGTGATGGTGAGCAGGTCTTGCTGCCAGGAGCTTCTCTGAAGTGCCTCTTGATTGGAAAAATCCACTTGCAACCGTTCATTACTTAGAAAGGACATTTTCATGCTGCGTGTTCCAGGCTTCTGGTGCATCCATCTCAGGTTGCCAGGGTGTGTTGCATGGGGCTGTCCCGGTGGCGAGGACACGGGCACCCGAGTAGCTGGACTGACACCCCCATCCCTCGTGCCTGGCCCAAGGTGTCCCTGGGTGCCTGCTGCCCTGGGGGCTATGCTCTTTGGATGTTTTCCACCTTGTAGCTGTTCCTGACAAGGGAGTCGAGGAAGTCGGGGGCTATGCCCCGCAGCAGGACCATGCTGCTGGCCACCAGGGCTGGGTAGTGCAGCTCCCGCCGGCGCAGCGCTCCGCTCCTGATGATCTCCAGCGCACACTCCTCCTTTGGTGCTGGCTTGTCCTGGATGACGTGGGAAACGGCTCGCACGGCGCTCTCTGGGGTGAGGAGGGAAGGAGCAGTGTCAGATGGAGGGGTTGCCACAGGCACCACAGGCTCAGCTGGGCTGTCTGTAGTGTCCTCTGACAAACTTTACAAGGCTTAGAATAGTTACAGTAAAGAACAATTACAGTGATGTCCTTCCCTTTCCACCTCTTAAGTGGCCCTAGGACAGAATCACCACTCTCCCTGGCTTTACTGCCAGGAGAGTAGAGGCAAAGGTCTCAGGACACACTTTGTGAAGAGCTGGGCTGCTATTCCCAGAGCTGTTTGGGCTCAGCAGGGGTGGGGAGGTGCTGTGCTGAGCAGCTGGGGGCTGGTGCGTGGGCCCTGGACTCTGCCTGGAGGGCACCGAGTCCAGCCCAGAGATGCTGATCTTACCTGTGTTGATGTAGCCCAGGATGCAAAGTGTGATGGAGACATTGACCTTGTCTATGATGAATTCCTGTCGCAAGGAGCTGAAAAATCCATCTAAGGCGAACTTAGTTGCAGAATAGGGAGCAATAAATGGAGACCCAACTTTACCTGAAGCAGAGACACAGTGTCAGGGTTCATGTACTGGGCAGACACCAGGCTGCAGGGCTCTCCCCTCCTCTTGCCCTTCAAGTAGCTACAAGATGGTGATTTAGGATGACTGAGTAATCTGTCAGGCATGCTTGAGAGACATAAACAAATGCAGGAATGTTTAAAATGTAACATATGGCATGGAGTACCTTCAGTTGTGGGTGATACTGTTCTTTTATTCCTGCATAAATACCCATGTACAGCAAATGCATGCATAATATGTGGCCCTGCACATGAAATAACCTGCAGTGGTGTATGAAGGTGATTAGTGGGTACAAAGAGACTGGCAGGACAGGATATAGAATATAAATCCCACAGAGGACTTGAATTGTGCATCCAGGGCATAAATCACATGCTGATCCTGACTCCCAGCAGGGTGGCTCTCTGTCTTTTGAAGAAGAGCCACAGCAGGAA